CAGAGAGTGCTTCGATCATGTTAAGCACTTCTTGCTGTCTCTTTTGTGCATTTTCTTGTATTACTGTGATATCTGTCATGATATTGACAGTGTGTATCTATATATTATATATTTCAGTCCGCTGTTCTAATGCTAAATATGTAGCACACCTGAAAGAAATCAAGGGCATGTTGCAACCCTGCATTACATCCATTGAGCAGTGTGCTCATCTCCGCCCTTCGGAAGAATCTCTTGACTTTGCTGCTGTCCTGTTGGGCTTCAACGAAGGTATGTATCTTGTGGAGGGTTCTAGATAGTAGTGGTCAGAACAACCACGGAGTTCACGAGTGATATCCAGTACTCTGTGAATCTCCCGATATGCTTCATCACAATTGGCGGTAATTCTCCACCCGTATCTGACGTGATATAAGCGATAATAATTGCACTGAGCAAACTTTCTGTTTTCTCCATCAAGTCAGCACAATCATTCTTGTTTTGTTTAATTGTCTGGGATAATGGACTGAGATTCACTGTGATCCACAAGTTTATTGAGGTGAGTTACCTCAATGAATTTCAAAAGAGACTGAGTTGTGGTACAAATGGACTCCAACAAGGGGATGTTGAGGTTGTCGGCAAGCATCCCCAAAGTTTCCGCAGTCATGGTCAAGCTTTTTGTAATGTCTTTCAGTCGAGTCTGAGTGGCAGCGGGTTTGAGGGGCATCTTGTTAGTTCGTTCATTGGGGGATGAGAGATGTCTGTATTTGAAGCCACACATATGCCTGAGAAGTTCCAATTTGATGGGTCGAATCTCTGCTTTCATTGGCTACCCTCCATCTCTTGATCTTCTGCACATAATCAAAGATGATGATATACATCAATACATGACAGTGATTCCGCAGAATGAAGCAGGTGCTGATAGTTCTTAACCACTTGCGCTTTAAGGCAGCAAAAATGTGGCTGAAACCACCTTGTTCTTCGCACCAGGGCACAACATTTCAGTACAAATGCGACACCTAACCCCTAGGTACAGCTATTTGCTGGCATTGAATTGACATTTCACTGCCGTTCACTGCCACTACGTTGTCATGCGACCATCAAATATTCTCGCACGCATTGCGCAAATTTCCCACAAGTAGACAAAAAGAAGAGGTCTTCTTAGGTTGGCTGTACTGTAAATCTCTCTCTCTAGATCATCATAAAATTAAGGGTGTCCGTCAGAACCTTTCAAATCCCGCTTATGGATGAATTTTTTGAACACGGATTCTTGGAAGCGCTCATCAAGCGCATTGTACTGCTGTGCTACATTTTTCCTTGTCTCCCATCCAGTCTTCCGAACAGGCTGAGTGACTTCGATGTCCTAACAGCGCGCTCTTGTGGGCATAATATTTGTCTTGGCCCAACAAATAGTACAGAGATAGCGACATTCAGCGTCACGTTACCTCCGTCGTTCATTTCGGAAGACCACTGCTTCTTGATATCGAGCGTCTATTTACAGAAATGGCACTATACTCGTATTCGAATTCTGAGAACCAGAATACCCAGGCATCCAGCCGCCCTGCCTCACCATGTGGTTGCCTATCAACCACCGATCCAAAATACACAAGTCCCCAAACCGCCGACGGGGCGTGGAGAGCGCGAAGTGGTGGATGTGTTTTTACTACTGGAAAGGGAAGAACATAGGTAGACCTATGGAAATTACACACAAGCGCCGCGCCCCGAGGGAGGCGCACTGCACAAGCAGATGCACCACATATATACATCCGCGTGGACAGGTAAAAATTGACGGGCAGATACCAACAAAATCCGTGGTCCACTCAATGGCTCAGCCCCAAATCGAACGGGGTCTTCTGCCAATAAATCAACGCCTTGGTCGCGAGGCCAGATGCATACCACATGCTACCAGGGCGTTCGTGCTTCTACGCTTCCTTCGGGTATTGATCTGCATAGAGGAGACCAATTAAATTTAGCGGGAGTCCGGGCCGCTGCGGGACGAATGGGTGGCCTACATGCCACGGGCCTTCCTACGCTGGCCGTGGTATTCAGACTTCAGGTATTGCAAGTCAAGCCAAGTTGGAAAGTAAGAGGGCTGACTGATTGTACCAAATGAGTGCATGGATGGGGTGAAAGTCGGTAAAGATATTGCCCAGGCCAGGTCGTGGAACGAAACAAACTAATCGCATTCGTCCGATGCGACGTCTGAACTTTGTACTTACGCGACTCGGATCTCCTCGTTCTCACATTTATTATTTATTTTTCCGCGAACCCTCTACGATCCCATGCGAACATCTGCGAATAAGAACCAAATCCGCGTGTATGATGGCGAACATAAAACAAGTGCGTGCGATACCTGGATCTGCTCATCGGTGTGACCGTAACGCCGGTGTACGAGGCGCAATGCATGTATACGCACGAGCGCCGACGGGGCGTGGGGCGCGGATCCGAGCGGCTCCGGGGAGTGCATAGTGAAATCACTCACTCCGTGTGCGGGATCTCCTCCCCCACACTAACACCGCGTCAGAGCGCACCCCACTCTTCCCCCTCCTCCCCCTCTTCCCCATATCTCTCCTCACCCTCCTCCTCACTCCGCCTCGCATTCCCCCTCGTATACCCATACACATCGAAGGGAGAATCACCCCCAACCAACCCCTCCCTTCTCCCCTCTCCGCGCCTACCCAGCCCGCGCCTGCAAGGGTGCGTCGTACCGCCTTCGGGAGTGCAAGGGTTCCTCCACTGCCACCTCCACCAATGCCAACTCCGGAGTTATGGGAAGCGAATGAGGGCGCGGAAGACGCAGCCTCGTCGGAGCGTACCCGCCTCTCCGTACCCGTACCCGCTCGATCGCTTAGCGCGCCGGATCCGCATTTCGAATTCGATGTAGACCCCGAGCCCGCCGTTAAATTCGAGCCCGCATCGGAATGGGAGGTGTGCATGCGAGGGCTCGTCTCGCCATACGCATCCTCGAAGCCAAAGGTCGTCCCCCTGCGGTGCGCGTGCGCCTTTCCCGCTCTGTCTGTGTCTGTTGAGACGGCGAAGGCTGAGGCTGAGGCGGAGGCGGAGGTGGAGAACGCCGATACCCGCGGGTTCGAGGACGCAGGATGGGCGCGGAGCGCCACGGTTCCGTCTCCGCTTCGTATAGCGGCCTGCGCAGTAGAGACGTCGAAGGGCACGGAGTCGGATATAGCCGAATATGCGACGTGGGAAGAAGCAGAGACAGAAGACGACGAAGGAAGCGGAGGAGGGTGTACGTCAGAGGAAGGAACGCCTCGGGCGTGGGGGGCGCCGTGCGCGGTCCGCTGGAATAATTGCCGCTCGTATAGTTGGAGTTCGCATTCGTCGACACAAACGGCGAAATATGTGCCGAGGTCAAGTTCGAAGCCAGAGGAGAGGTAGAAGGAGAGGTAAAAGCACTAGTAGAGGTGCGCCGCGGCGGGAGGGGTGGCGTGCGGCACGGGTTCACGGGATTAGCGCCCGTAGACGCGCCGTACAGTATTCCACCCGAATGGGAGCGCGACGACGAAGACGCAGATGCAGAAGAGTAACAGAGCGCCGTGTGTGCGTCGAGGCGCGGCGCGGGGGTGCGTCGGGGGCGGGGGCTTCGGGGATGTAGCGGAATTGAAGCTGACAGCGCCGCTTGTGATGGAGACAGAGCTGAAATGACCGCTCGAGCTCGTGATGGAGACAGCGTTGTTGGTTCGGGTTGGGGATGGTGCGGGGGCCGCGGAGAAGGAGGAGGAGTACCCGTGCCTGCGCGCATGGGCTGCACCAGATGCAGAGGACGAGGAAGTGGAGGTGGTCTCAGATGAGGCGCTGTATTTATTTTTTGGCGTATTATTTAGCTGGAGCGGGCGGGGGCGGGACTCGGGTGAGGGCGCTGGTGTAGGGAGGAACGGGTTTGGGTTTGAATTTGAATTTGTCCAGCTCGCAGTGGGAACGGGGCTATGAAAATATAAATGAGATGAGATGAGGCGAGAATTAAAATCAACAAATAAGCAAGCATCGCCGACCCTAGGCGCCAACAAAAAAGGACAAGAAAGAATAACCAACCCTGGACAAACGCAAGACTCCTGTCGATAGCGCTCCCCGCCTGCATGTGCAGCGCCAGTCGCAGCAGCGCAAAGAATGCGCCGCCGCCGAGGGTAGGCGCGGGGAAGAGGCAGAGGATCTAGAATTTCATTGAGTAAAGCAATTTAAAAAGGAAACGAGGAGGAACGCACCTCATCGATCGACCTAGTCCCCAGCGACGCATACCGCCCGCAAAGCCACGCGCGCGCCTCGCGCACGCTCACGCTTATCCGTTCCCAATCCATCGCGTTATCATTCGAATTATCAGTTGAGGTTGAATCGACATCTGCGAGATCGGCGAGGCTGGCGGTGAAGAAGGCGTGCTCGGCGTCGCTCAGCGCGGACAGGTGCAGCGAGAGTCGGCGCGCAGACATGGTGGGTGGAGGAAAGAGTCGCGATGATCAGTGTAGCGTAGGCGGCGCGGTATGCCGACGTGCCGAACACGTGGATCGTACGTGAATCGCGTGGGATCCGCGGCCAAACGTTGAAATTGGGCAGAAAATTAAATTGAGATAGGGTAGAAGCAAAAAAGGTAGACGGTTGGCCTGCGTGTGCGATAAGCATAAAAGCCCTGCGCACTAAAATAACAAAATGCGCAACCACAAAAAAGGTCCTTCGACGTTTGATGGCCCCTCCCCGACTCGAACGGGGGATCTGCAGCCAACCAACGTGGATATAAACGTATATGGAGCGCAGATGCATGCCGCATGCTACGGGGGCTTTCTGTATTCTGTAGATTGGAATACTTACTTCAGGAAGGCCAATTTGTCTGTGGATATTACAAGAATCAGTCGATGCAGTGTGTAGAGAAATAATTAATCGACTCGGATACCCACCCATTCCCCTTCCCACGTACCTGATCCTGAAACGTTATACACACTCAGAGCACAGAATATGAATTTAAAAAAACCAGAATTCGAAAAAGAAACATATATATAGACTGGTGATTCAACGGGTCATGGCCCAGCCCGGAGTCGAACCGGGTTCTCTGCTAATATTCAACTGCAGCATCAACAATGGCAGATGCATACCATATGCTACCAGGCCTTCCTATGGGCTGTGGGCCTTGTGCCATGAGCTCCCTCTCTTCATCAATGCAGAATATTGGAATTCATCACTGCTCGAATTATTTGCTGCGGGCGTTCATATTAATATTCGGGCGGCCGAGCTCGGACACGCGTGATGTATCCACAGCGCTTAGGATGTATCACTCAATAAAACTGAATTTGGGAAGGAAAATATAAATAGTTACTCTTCCGATCTATGGCCCAGCCCGGAATCGAACCGGGTTATCTGCTCAGCTCGAAATGATTCAATGACGGGCCAACCGATGGTGTGCAGATGCATGCCACATGCCACCGGGCCATTCTGTCCTTCGTGTTCAGTCAGTACCCATGATCAACCACTCTACTGGTATATTGCCTCTATCCCATCAATTATGAAGTTCGAACCCAGCCGCAGGTTGTCGGCAGGGGAACATATTTCATCGGGACGCGGCCCAAGCACTCTGCGCACCAAAGTAATAATAAACAGAAGAAGAAGAACCAAAGAAAGAAAAAAACTATAACACTCTTCTCCATGGCCCCTCCCCGATTCGAACGGGGTCTCTGCAGTAGAACTCTATGTCGAAATGATGGTGCGCAGCTGCACCGCATGCCAAGGGGCCTTCGTCCACTCTCTGGATCCTGGAAGAATATGCGGTGTTCTTCAGTCGCTGAAGCATGCCACGGGTGGGGAAATAATTAATCGACATACCCAACCACTGCGCAGCACAAGTGATTGTGAAAAAACGTTAAGGGTCCCAGCGCTCAGGATGTGTGAATCAAGAATACTGAATTCGAGGAAGAAAAAAAAGGTGTCGCAATCATAGTATGGGCCAGCCCGGAGTCGAACCGAGGTTGTCTGCTGATATATTCGAAACAGCAGCAGTGCAAAATCGCAGACGCATACCATATGCTACCGGGCTATCCTATGTTGTGCGTGTCCTCCGTTATGGGCGATGAACTCTTTCTCTTCATCAATTCAGAACACTCTGCATTCTGACACATTTCCAATTCCAAGTATTTGGCTGCGAGGAGTATTGATTAATATTCGGGCAGCCGACGACACGCTTTGAGTAAGCCCTAGAATGGTAGCAAGTCTGAGAGTAGAGACTAGAACTACAGGCGGCCAGCGAAAAGTGGATTGGAGAGAATAAAAGGTAAAGAATATAAATCAGGCGGCCCCGCCCCGACTCGAAGGGGGTCTCGCCCCAGGAATCGCTGTCCTCCCAACCGATGGCGCGCAAATTCATCCCGCGTGCTGCTGAGTCTTGTTTCCTCTGTGTATCCCGGAAGAATGTGCAGTGTTCTTTGGTCGAAGAGAGGAACAATTAATTAATCCACATCCGCCGTTCGACTTCTGCCCGCTGACAACACATTCCACTGATACTGAGAGAACGCTGACGGCATGTAATGTGAATCAAGCAAAGTGAATTTGGAAAGACGAAAAAGAAAACACCCGTTCGAACGAGGAATGGCCCAGCCAAGAGTCGAACCGGAGTTGTCTACTTAATCTCACGCTGCCGAAAGATCAAGGCAGATGCATACCGCATGCCACAGGGACTTCCTACACTCTGTGAATCCTGAAGAATATGGAGTTTTTCGGCCGATGCAGCGTGGGGGAGGATTTTATCCGAAATAATAAATCGATATCCACCCCTTCCGCTGCGGGCAGCATCCTGCAACTGATTCCGGGGAAATGTTAACGGTACCCAGGCTCAGCGCTGATATGGGGATCAAGAATTGGAGGAAGAAAAAGATAGGCGATATCCGATCTATGGCCCAGCCCAGAGTCGAACCGGGTTATCTGCTTATGTACTGGACTGGAGCTCTGCTATCAATGGCAGATGCATGCCGCACGCTACCGGCCTCTGTTCAATATGTGTATCGTGGAAGAAAATGTAGTGTTCTTCGGTCGACGAGGCGTGCATGATAATCAATCGACGATGGCAAAGACGAGATGTTTTAGAGTTAGCGGCATCCACGACGTTAGAAACGTATGCTACGGGCCTTGCTTCACTCCGTGGATCCTGGAATGGTACTTACGTAGCGTTCTCCTAGGTGAAGGATGGGTGTAGAAATAATTAAGTAATTGAAATCTACAACCGCTCCTCCCAGCACAATGTTGCACCCGATTCAACGGCAACCACTGCGTTCCCACCCTACGTAGACGCACCCCGGTGTACGTTGGTCTATGTGTGGCTACATGTGTCGATCTTCGTCTACGTCCGGCTACGTCTGTGTACGCCGTGATGTCGATGCACGTGTGGCTACGTCCGGCTACGCCGCGTAGACACGGTCCGTCTACCCGTCGGCTACGTATGTCTACGTGCATCTATAGCGTAGATGCACGTAGACATATCTCGATCAACTTCATAATGCTTTTCACTGCCATTCTGCATTGATTTAATTTATCCAGTTCCGCAGAATTGGGCGAGGTATGTGTACATTTGTCTACATCGGTCTATGTGTGTCTACATCGGTCTATGTCGGTCTATGTATGTGGACCAATGTAGACATACGTAGGCGACCCGTGTCTACATGATGTAGACATACATAGACAAAGGGGTTCGTCTACCCTTTGTCTACAGGGATAGACCGACCCTCTGTCTACAAGGGGTCGGAACACAGTGAACGCTAACAATATGTACACTCAGCGTTTCGAAAGACGGCAATAAGCTCGCATTATCAGAAAGCCGTAGAGCAGACTGGTTACGAGTCTATTTCCGAAAGTGTGAATTCGGGGACAAAAGAAAATCGCCGCATCTGATCCATGGCAGTCGAACCGGGCTATCTGCTTATACACCGCTATTACTGCCTCAACAGTGGCAGATGCATACTACAAGCTAGCGGGCCTTTCTGTGCTCTGAAGGTCTGGATGTTTGAGGAAAGGCAACCCCCCTGTCGACCCTGGAAGAATATGTAATTGTTCAGCCGATGCAGCGGCTTTGGGCGGAGGAATAATATTAATTAATCTGGACCCACCCCTTCCGCTGCCCTGAGCACATACCGCAACTGATTCCGAGGAAACAGTGAGAGTATCCACCCCAGCAGTCAGAGAACGTGGGAATCGACAAGAAAATTGGGGAAGGAGAAAACTGCCGATTGAATGAGTTATGGCCCAGCCCGGAGTCAAACCGGTTTGTCTGCTTATACACTCACATTGTCCAGGATCAATGTCCTTCAGACCTCAGAATGTGAATAATAATAAAATGAATTGGGGAATAATTAAAAAATCTGCCTTCATTGAATCAATTTTGAGGGCCCAGCCCGGAGTCGAACCAGATTGTCTGCTTATATTCTAGAGGGACTGTATACATCGTATATGCATACCGGATGCCACTGAGCCTTATGCTTGAAGAACGGAAACTCCTGTGGAACCCTGGAAGAATAGACAGCGTTGTTCAATCGATGAACCGTGGGCAGATAATTTAATCCATATCCACTCCTTCCGCTGCCCGCAGCACATACCTCAACTAAGCCTGAGAAAACGCTAGTGGTACCCGCACCCAGCTCTTAAGATATGTAAGTCAAGGCCCAGCTCAAAGTCGAGCGGGCTCTTTGTAAGATAGTAGAGTCTGAAAACGAGTAATAGTATGCAGATGCATCATGCAGATCGCTACCGGACCTTTCTAGGTGCTGTTGATCTAGATGTTTGAGGAAAGGCAATTTCAAGTTCGTGGATCACAATATGTTCCACTCTGGCACTAAAAGATGAGAGACACGCGCGGTGCCGAAGAGGTTCGTATAAAGTACGAAAAAAAACCGAATCCACACTGTAAGCTTAAATGGCCCAACCCAGTCGAACGGGTCTTCGCAGAATAGTGCCTGAACCCAGTAGATGCGCTCATTGACATTCATCTGCGATGAATCAGGATTTTTTGGATGGATGAGAAATAATTGACTCCCCGCAAACCAGTCGCGCAGTGGTCACGGTATTCACGCCCAAGGGTTGGAATATGTGAATCAAGGAAGGTGAATTCGGGAGAGAGAAGAACATGGCCGAGTATTCTCAGTCTCAGAAGTTCTGGAATATCAATGCTGCTTACATGCATGCACCAAATGAGATTAATGCTCTCCACGATTTCTACCACCATCAGTCGACCCCATGATCCTCAAGAGGGCGCTCTATGACCGTTCACCGTCCTTAGACACTGAAGGTTTGCTGATGGAGCGAGTATTAGCCCTCTGTAAGTCATACTCGACACTAGGAACTCGTTCAGAACTCGAAAGCTCCCATAGTTCTTTCCACTTTGAATCCGGACCTTCAGGACGCGATATTTGCTGAAGTTTGGCAACTGACCGGCTATTTCTCGGACCGGAATTAGATATCTCCCACGGAAAAGTTCTTGATGCGGCGATTGGCGGCGATGCAGCCACGTCTCGTTTTAACCAGCTCTGCATTGAGCCCAATTTTCCGCAATTGTTCTTAACTGCATCACTCATCTGTTGCTCATCCTCGTTCGTTGATGCTCCATCCCCGGCACTCCTCAATTCTTACTGTGCGTTGCTCAAATTTATTTTTCACGAAGAATGACAGTCGTCCGAGGCGTCTTACGGATTTCATATATTTTAGACGTTACGAGCCGAGTGTAATTTTGGAGTGATTATGTTTACTACCACCACGCGTAGTGACGGACGAGGCTGACGGCATTGGCCCTGGGCTTCCCTACCATCGCATCCGGGTGTGGAAACGACTCCTTTCGACACTTTAACATTGCTTTAAGCGGCACAGTGCCAATCTGCTGGGCAATACGAAATTTGTGTAAAACACTCGAGTTAATATAGACAGCGCACCCGACCCCCTTCTTAGGCTCGGAGGAGAAAGCTCCAAGATGTAGGAACCACTCCGCGTTCTCGCTGTCTTCACCTGTGTTCCTATGTCCTTGTCAGGCGTGCTTGTGTCTGGTCTCACTGAAGGCGTGCTGGAGCTCACTCTTTACGGGGCATTCTCCGTTCTCTTCTCCGTTGTCGTCTATCTGTTCTCGACTCGTGGGCTTATCTCAAGGAAACGCCCAACCTTCTTCGTTTTTCTGGCTCTGGTCGGGCTTTTTGTTTCGATTACTGCAGTGGGTGGACTAAACTCCAATGCGCTTGCCGCTTTAACATAATTCCAGCATTGGCTCACTGTTATATATGTCCTGTATCTGACCTTCATACATTTGGGAGGAGGTTTTGCTGCGGAGGTGTACTATCTGACCCTGTCCACGACCGCGTCCGTTGTGCACTTCAGTCTGGTGGAGGTGGCTACCGTGATAACCGACGGCCTTGTGGTCGGTAATTACTTCATCCCCAGAATGGTCCGGATTAACCTGTTTCTGACAG